TAGTGACAAGCTCTTTTGAATGCTTTTCATTGGTTAAATATTTGTAAAACCCTCAAACAGACAAAAATACATTTCTTGGTCTTCTGACAAAACGCTTTCTCAACCTCCTTTAGGCAGTTGTCTTTCAAACTCAGTTCTGCAAAAACACGGGTATACAAAAAAAACAGGCTAAATTTGACACTCACAAGTTTGAGTGTGTACAACATGTCATACTGTTTACTGGAGACAGAATAGTGAAATGTCCCTTATATAAAGTACTGTTACTATAGTTACTATACTGTACGACACTGTGTAAGCAGTGTAAAACCCTGTCTGTGATTCTTTCAGCTCTCTCTCCAGTGCTAGGATGCATTTTTAAAGCAGTCACCTGTGCTCCTGTTTATTCTATCCTGAGATTCTGACTGGTGTGTCAACAGTTTTGCTACTGAATGTTTGCGTATGGACAATTGTGTGTTGTTTGAGTTCACACTGTGACAGTAGAGTTAATTATACAGGTGCATCTCAATAAATAAGAATGTCGTGGAAAAGTTCATTTATTTAGAAATTCAACTCAAATTGTGCACACAGACTGAAGTAGTTTAAGTCTTTGGTTCTTTTAATTGTGATGATTTTGGCTCACATTTAACAAAAACCCACCAATTCACTATCTCAACAAATTAGAATACTTCATAAGACCAATAAAAAAAAAACATTTTTAGTGAATTGTTGGCCTTCTGGAAAGTATGTTCATTTACTGTACATGTACTCAATACTTGGTAGGAGCTCCTTTTGCTTTAATTGCAGCCTCAATTCGGCGTGGCATGGAGGTGATCAGTTTGTGGCACTGCTGAGGTGGTATGGTAGCCCAGGTTTCTTTGACAGTGGCCTTCAGCTCATCTGCATTTTTTGGTCTCTTGTTTCTCATTTTCCTCTTGACAATACCCCATAGATTCTCTATGTGGTTCAGGTCTGGTGAGTTTGTTGGCCAGTCAAGCACACCAAAACCATGGTAATTTAACCAACTTTTGGTGCTTTTGGCAGTGTGGGCAGGTGCCAAATCCTGCTGGAAAATGAAATCAGCATCTTCAAAAAGCTGGTCAGCAGAAGCAAGCATGAAGTGCTCCAACATTTCTTGGTAAACGGGTGCAGTGATGTTGGTTTTCAAAAAACACAATGGACCAACACCAGCAGATGACATTGCACCCCAAATCATCACAAACTGTGGAAACCTAACACTGGACTTGATGTCTTGACCCCAGCCTCAGTCCATTCCTTGTGAAGTTCACTCAAATTCTTGAATCGATTTTGCTTGAATCATTAAAAAAGTGGAATGTGTGTATTTATAGAATATTATAATTTCTAAACTACTAAATTAATTAGTAAAACATGATTGGAGAGTTTACTCATGGTCCATTGCTTACATTATGAATGCATCTTTAATTTAGAATTTGATCTTTAGATTTAACTGTGTTAATGCATTAAGCCATTTTTCGATTTTGTTTTCTTGGGGACAAAACTCTTAAAAATGTTGTCTTTCCATTTGGATTATACTGCCATTATCTTATATATGGTGCTTACAATAAAGCTGTGAATTGGTTGTTCCTGGTTGTTGTTTTACAAGTTATAAGCACTTATAAGTTCATTGATTAGCTAATATTGCAGTGTAATTAAAATTTTACTCGTCATATTTTCGTCAATATTCTGAAGATTATGGAATATTCTGGGATTTGGAGGTGCTAAAATGTTATAACACACAGGTTTTTTCTTTCTTTTTGCTCAGAACAAAACAAAACAAAAAACACTAATCTATAGCACTTAAAACATTTGACAAAATCACACAAAGAACTGGCAAAAGGTACTGCAGAGGACATGGCGCAGACGTCACGTATCTTCTCAGGCAGCTTCTCATGCGAGAAGTGGGGCGACGAAAGTGTCGCGCTTCTTATCACACATCATTGGTCATGGCTTCTGCTCACGGCAAGGTACGCAACGATCGACACGACTGATTGCTTAGTTAGCAACGTAAGTGCTTAAATCACACCCCATAAGTGCTTAAATCACACCCCATACAGCCCATACACGGCAGTGCTTAACCGTTTGACGGCAAATAAAAGAGCTTCAACACCTCCGTCGTCTATATGCACGTACAAATAATTAACTGCACTTGAAGCTTTCATAAAATTAAAAATGAAACACCCAAAACTGTATATGGCAACATAACGAAGACGAACTACAGTATGTTTATTCGTGAAATTCCGGAGGGGACGTCGGATGGCGTCGTGTGTGGACATAATAACGTGTGCCATTAATCGATCTATGCACTATAACATGTAAAACGGGAACACGAAAGAAATATTCTAAAAGCAACTCATGTAAACACCATAATCATAATATTGTCCATAATATGTCCTGACTACTGATTATATATATTTATATTCACAAATTCTCATTTTTGGGTAAACTGTTTCTTTAAGTGCATTTCATTCTGTCCTTCTTCCTTCCATCCTTCCTATCAGTATTCCTCTGCTGACTGTGCAATCATAATGACAAGACACCACTCTTCACTCTCTCTCATGCTGTTGATCTCAGGATGGCTGCGCTCCAGCAGCTGATCGATCCACCATAAGCAAATTACATTTCCCTGATTCTCTACAGAGCTTTTAGTCACACACACACACACACACACACACACACACACACACACACACACACACACAATTCTCTCCAGAGAGCTTAGACACACACACACACACACACACACACACACACACACACACACACACACACACATCACGGTGTTGTACTGACTCTGCCCACAGACAGACAGCAGTTAACCACAGCAATCACTCATCATAATAGCTGGAAAGATTCAGTTCGATCCAGTAGAGCCACACTCACAAACACACACATTACATAAGAGACAGTGACCGCTCAGATGACATGAAATAGCATTTCATAAAGTACTTCACTTCCTCGTGTTTATAACTCTTCTAAAGATTTGATCCTGGCCTTCATGAATCTTTGTATATGGGATATTATCATACTGGAATATATGAATATCATGAGAGAAATTCTTTGGGAACTGGGACACAGTTTTCTTACTAAACTTTGGTTCTGTCATTTGTTGGCCTATCTGTTTCTGGTCTCAGTTGCTCTGCCAGTCTACGAGACGTTTTTGCCCATTTTATCACTCAAGGAGAGCAATAGCACACAAACCAAAAATGGACAGCCTATAAAACAGCAGTGTTTAGTCAAAGCAGTCAGTGGCATACGGACAGACCTGAAAGAGCACTTGTGTTCAGCTAACAGCTCTAGAAATACTGTAAAAACCTTGACAGACTTAGTTAGGTTTAGTGTCTGTCTGTGTGACCCACCTGCAGTCCAGTGCCTGTGTTTAATTCAGCAGTGTCTGCCGCCATCGGTGACACCGTGCTGTTCTCCTGCGGTTCAGTGTCGTCACTTAGACCTCAGACAGCAGCAACATTTCTGAGCAGACGCAGCGACTGATGGCAAGAGTTCCTGTTATTTGGGTTGGTATGTGATCTATGTGGTGATGCCTTGTTTACACTCATCCAGTATTTACGTCCTTGCTCACTCATGTATTCACTGTCTGAACTATTTCAGCTCTACATTGCATGTGTAGACTGCATACTAGTTATAATTCATACTTCTCGTATTACATTTGTTCAGTAAAGAGAATAATTACAATAAACTTAATTTATATTCCTAAAAATGCATATGCAAAGTACAATTTTGGGGCAAAAATACATTCTATTTATACAGTAAATGTCTTGTTTATTGTAAAAGGCACAAGACTTGACTGTAGATGTAGAGAAATAGAAAGTGCCACGACTCAAATTTCACTGTGAATATCCGAGCCAAACCTTTTATTGTCCAACTGCGGGCTGTGTTACATGTGAAGGTAATTCAATAACACACCTTCACGACAGGCTTTAGTCTATAAAACATGATGCATTTGGTTTTAAATACTCTAATCTTGTTGAAAACTTGAATAAGCTATTTTTCTTTTTCTTATTCTGTCTTATCTTGAATGACTTGGAATGCTCTCTGGGACACTGAAATGCTGTTTCGTACATTCTGATGATTCCTCTTCCTTCCTTCATGATATGCCTAAATGAAAAAAGAACAGTGTCATCATTTACTCACTCCCATCATGTTCGAACCCATATGACTGTCTTGTGGAATATGTTTAGCAAAATGTTAGAGCTGCTCTTTTCCATAGAGTGAAAGCATGCCATGACCAAGAGCTGCCAAGCTCCAAAACTGACAGATAAATACATAAATAATAGTCATTAAGTCATTGTTTCCAGGGCCAAACTAGAATCAGATGCCAAAAGCAAACAACAAATGGTGCTACTATACCTTCAAGGTACATGGAAGCTTGTTTCTGCCACTTGATAAAAAATAATAATAATTTAAAAAATAATAATAATAATGAAAAAGGTAACTGTGACTTTTTATCTCACAAATATGACTTTTACATATGAAAAAAGATATAAACGCAGAATTGCGAGATATAAACTTGTAAATCTAAGAAAAAAAGGGAGAAATAAAGTCAGAATTTATTATTTTTTATATATTTTTTTCTTTGTGGCGAAAAAAAACAGAATTGTGAGATGTAAATTCTGGATTGGGAGAAAATAAGACTGAATTCTTAGAGATGAATGAGAAGAAAAGTCAGAATTGTGAGATAAAATCGCAACTAACATTTTATTAAATGTTTTATTTCGTGGCAGAAACAGGCTTCTATACTATACACTACGAATCATGATCTTAACCTTTATCTCATACCCAAATCTCAGATGAATGGTTAAAACACTGGTGTCCGGGACACCGAGAACCCTTTCGAGATAGAAATGGAAACGAGTAGAGGCTTGCACCCAGAAACAGAAAACCTAATGTCATGATTTAACAGGTGGACAGCTGTGTGTGACAAACAGGGTCTACTTGAACTAATGCGCATGAGTTGAACCCGTATGAACTACTTTTTAAGAGCCGTTTCCTCTTCGCTGCATGCTGTTGCTGCTGCTGTATGGAAAAGAGCTGCTTGGAAATCCCGCAAAATATCGATGTCATGCAATGTGAAGGTGCGCTGATGCCTGCTGTGATGAGGAGGTCTGATTGCGCGCGAGGGGCGTGGAGGAGCAGAGCCACTAAAGCAGGATTCAGCAGTCCTTTTCAAACGGAGAAATTTCCAGGCATGGCGAGGTGAGACGCGAGTGCGACGATAGCGTGCGTTTAAAGCCCGACTGCCGCGACGATACTCCTGCAAATGCGCAAAGCGAGCGTCGCGGGTGCTCAGCTCAGCTCAGCTCAGCTCAGCTCGTCGTTAAACACCGCCGCTGCGCCCTGATCATCCTCCACCATCCGAGCCAGTGCGCCACTCGAGGGTTCAGCTGCATCAGACACCCAGCATCAGCAGCAGCAGCAGCAGCACAGGTGAGTTCTCATCAGCGCTGCTTTATGCTCGGTGCACATGATGGAGGACGCGAGAGCTGAATATGTGCCGCACCTGCAGTCGCTCGCGCTCATCATCTTCATCATCATTTCAAGCGTTCATTCGTGTGCAAGCCGCTCGCTTGTAGCCTCTTACTGGGTAGATGTGGCAGGCTTAAACGAGGGATTGTGAAGCATTTAACGATGTTGACTTTGCCGCAATATTGTGCAACTTTCGAAAATATTCCAAATAAAAACAAGCGTCTTTATAAACATTGAACTGTTTTGATTAAGCCTTCGTCGATTACATTAGCACTGGTTAGCAGCACTGAGAGGCCAAACTCTTAAAGTGACATTTGCCCATGCAGTAAATATGTATCATAGCTCCACATTTGAAGGGGTCATATGATGCTGCTAAAAATAACAATATTTTGTGTATTTGGTGTAATGAAATGTGTTTATGTGGTTTAAGGTTAAAAAACACATTGTTTTCCACATACTGTACATTATTGTTTCTCCTCTATGCCCCTGGGCTTGTTTTAAAATTTCAATTTAGTTTTGTTATTTACATTTACATTATATTTAAATTTAGTTATTTAGCAAACGCTTTTATCCAAAGCGACTTACTAATGAGGACAATAGAAGCAATCAAAACCAACAAAAGAGCTATAATTTACAAGTGCTATATTAATATATTATTATAGTGTTATATTTCAATTTCACAAAGAAATGTGCAGCATTTTGGTCTTAAATCTCATTTTGTAAAAAAATCATGAGTTGAGTGAATCATTACATCCCTATTAACTATGTATTTACGTATGAAAAAATTATATTATGTATTTATGTATGAAAATTTTGGAACATTTTGACAATGACCTACTTGATTGAGCGTTAAAAGAAATGCCATGTTATGTGCGTTCTGTATATATAATATGCAAATACATGCATATTTAATGATGACACTTAATTTGCATACAAGTTTAAAGTTTAAATGGTTCACCAATAATAAATGTAGAAACTTTTAGTTTATATTAAATATCGCCTCTTTACCATTAGTAATTTTAACAGTATTATTTTCCCTGGCATTTTATGTTTTTTTTTTTTAGAAAAGTGCAGAAAACATGTTAATTTACTTGCACACTTTTTTTAAACGTTCAGCTCACCCAAACCCAGATTAATTATTGTCTTCAGTGAAACAAAAGGGCGTTTGCTCCAGTGTCAAATAATAAAAAAGACACCCTTGTGCATGTGCTGCTTTCTGTTGACAAATGTGGCAGGTCACTCCATGCATACAGAAATGTTGCATATTGTGCAGAAATATTAAGATCTAGCAGTTATGGTGAACCTGAAACTGAATATGATTCTTGAGTGCCGTTGTGATGAATATGTTGTGTTCCCACAGATGAGCGGGGCCGTGTATCGCTGATGTTTGGGAAAATGTGTCAGTGCTGCCGCTCCCCTGCGGTTCAATCCTGAGCTGCGCCAGCATATACTGAACCTGTGACTGATTTAAACCATGGAGCCCAAACCTGACTGCTGCCCTTCATCCGTGCCCAACTCTCAGTGTGAACTGCAGCTCAACATCTACGAGACCATCAGCGAGGGGAATGTGAATAAACTAGAGAGCTCAGCGCTGGTGCGCGCCGGTAGCGACCCCAGCTCCTACCTGTCATCCAAACGCCAGAGGTTCATCCGCAGGAGCCTGTGGTTCACCGATAATGACGAGCACCAGGCGGACGATTGCAACCCGGAGTGCGAGGAGCAGAATAAGATGCTCAGCATCAACCTGCTGACCATTGTGGACCGATCTCTGGCCGTCCGATCCAGTTTACCAGAAGGATTGAGCACGGAGAGCCAGACGGCTCAGAAAGAGCTGGAGAGCAGCAGCGCAGACGTGGAGAAGGAGAGAACCAACCTCAAAACAGACGTGACGGATGGCGTCAAGACTAACATAAAGGCGGCCAGTGAGGAGAATGAGGAGGAGGCTGAGATGAAGGCTGTGGCCACCTCTCCCGGCGGACGCTTTCTCAAGTTTGACATCGAGATCGGTCGCGGCTCCTTCAAGACGGTCTACAAGGGCCTGGACACGGACACCTGGGTGGAGGTGGCCTGGTGTGAACTTCAGGTGTGTTTCCACACGTGTTCTCATGGTTCAGTGTGTACGTAAACAGTGATGGTCATACCATGGTTCTTTTGCTGCTAAACAGACCAGTTTAAGGTGGATTCAAGCTGGTCTCCCAGCCTGAGCAAGGTGGTTTTCAGAAGGTTTAGCTGGCCCCCTGTTGACTGAGCTTTGATGCTGTTTTTATATGTCCTGCATACCATGCTATGTACATGGTATTTTTGGAGTACCGTGGTACTATCACTCTACATGTCCCAAAACCATGGTAGTAACATGGCACATTTAGGCAGGTCTAGTCTTGGCTCTTCATTGTCTGTGGCTGTTTGTTTTCACCGGCTTTATTGGTGTTTCAGGCTGTGCACTCGTGGTTTAGTGTTTCGTTTAGGTCCCTCTTTAATGGGGCGTCGTTAGTCATACAGATTGTTGTTCATTGAATCAAGTCACAAATGAAGAAATGACCACAATTATAAAGGTCTATTGTATAAGAGTGGTCCGATCATGAAGCTTGAGTCACTTTGTGACAGATTAGGAATCTGATTGTAGTAGCACGAGTGAATGTCAACAGCAGGAACTGTGAGATCATCTGTAATCTTTGCAGGTACGCAATGTTCCAGATATTCCAAAGTTTGAAAAAGTAGATTTTTTTTAATACTGGTTTTCCATAGTTGTTAGCGTCATATAATCGATGTAGGGCTTGTATGTAATACCTGCACATGTTTTCACTTTGAAGTTTTACAGTAATTCTTCATGTATGGAAATATTCAATAAGTCTTTATGAACAAACTGAAACCACAAAATGCTAAAATCTCAGTGGCCTGGGAAACATGGATGTATGTTTCAAAATGTATGTCGTTACTACAAATTAAATAGCAAAGTGGCATGTCATGGGTGCGGGTTGGTTGCTTTTGGCTGTGGTTTATTTTGGTTTTTGATCATTCTAACAGTGACTCATATAATGCTTCTACTCGTGTCTGAAGGGACGTAGCATCACGCACATCATTAACCTGGGCTATGTCAGCCTTTAGCCTGGGTTAGTAGTCCTGGCTGCAAGCACTTTCTAGAAATAATTACTGAAAGTAACAACTAGAGAGAGTAAAAAGCAAAATAACTCATCGTCAATGAAGGGATTTATGTGTTCGAGTATGAGAGATGTTTTAATTGTGAGAGATGGTGTCCTAAATCTCAATGTATTTTTTTTAATGAACAAATTAAAATGCCATCTGTCAGAAGATAAGCAGTAGTATATGGTACTTGATGATCGATTGCCACATTGATTCATGTCCAGTGATTCATCTGTGATTTAAATTAAGGCATATGCCCAAAACTGCACACACAGCTGTTAAACGATAAATGTGTTTTCAGGCTTGGTTTCAGTTGATTATACATACATGCGTATCCACCTCAACCAGTGCTTCATTCCTGCTACTTTTTTTGTGGAAAAAAAGGTTTCAGACCATTCAGTGCCTGAGTGAACTGAACAAATCATTCAGACCGAATACGTTTAATGATGAAATGTTCAATGGCAAATTTAGGGTGTAAAAGACCACAAACCAGTTGTATATTCTTCTTCTTCTTCTTAATGAACAAATTAAAATGCCATCTGTCAGAAGATAAGCAGTAGTATATGGTACTTGATGATTGATTGCCACATTGATTCATGTCCAGTGATTCATCTGTGATTTAAATTAAGGCATATGCCCAAAACTGCACACACAGCTGTTAAACGATAAATGTGTTTTCAGGCTTGGTTTCAGTTGATTATACATACATGCGTATCCACCTCAACCAGTGCTTCATTCCTGCTACTTTTTTTGTGGAAAAAAAGGTTTCAGACCATTCAGTGCCTGAGTGAACTGAACAAATCATTCAGACCGAATACGTTTAATGATGAAATGTTCAATGGCAAATTTAGGGTGTAAAAGACCACAAACCAGTTGTATATTCTTCTTCTTCTTCTTCCTTATGTTGCTACAAATGAGTTCCTCTATTTGAACTCAAATCAATAATTAGCCGTGGCTTTTTTATAGTAAGGAATTAATTATTCATCGTCATTCATTGCCCATGCAGTTCAGGTTTGTACTTGATCAGTCAATTTACACACACAAAAAAAAAGTTTAGTTTTGGTAATAGCTGGATTAGATACAACAGACAGTGATAAAGTCATATAATATGTGAAATGTTGGCATACAGTGGTTTGTTGATCATTTTCAGCTCAGTGCAACTGATGCATTCAAGACAATCACAGATCTCTCATGTTATTTTGACAAAACCTTGTTTTGTATGTTAGCCAGCTCAAAATATCTATGCATCTTTAAATCAGGCAGCATACTTTTTGTAACAAAGACGTTTGGTACAGAAAAGCACATGTTTAAGGCTTAAAATCACATGTACATTATTAAGAAATGTAAGCCACAGTGAGACTGTAGCAGTGGTGACAGAAACTCTCTGTAAAGACGTTCAGATGACTTTCAGAGTTATTCAGATGCATTTGAAAGTTTAGGCCTGACTTAAGTCAGCAGCAGTTTAGTGTGAGTTTGTCAGTGTTGTGCTCCGCGCTCTCTCGATAAGCATCTCTAGCTGCAGGAATGTGGCGTTGCTGATGGTGATCCACAGAAACACACACTGGAGTCATGTCCGGGTTTGTCTGCTCATGTGTTTGGGGTAAATATGCAAAACACTGCAAACTAAGTCAGTACTGTTGTTCATTTCGCTCAGCAGGTCCTTAGAGGTTGAGCATGAAATGGACTATGGGGGCAGAGTAGGGAGTCAGACTTGTAACCGAAAGGTCTCGGGTTTGAGATCTTATATATGAGATCTTTTAAAGAGGTTTTGCTAGAGACAGATTGTTGATAATGTTATTGACATGTCAAGTATTTTGGCACGGACGTCCACCCGTCCTCCTCTATCACGCTCTCTGTCTAGATACAGAGCTCAACAGTGACGGCACGCTATTTCAGCAGCATTGGCCGTTCATTTTCTACATAGGACCTTCAGAGCATAAACAGTTGAGCATGTATGGTTGCTCTCCTGATGCAACACACACACACACAGGTTACAACAAAGAATCCTTAGATTCTTCACTAGCAACACAAGGTTAGTGGGTTCAATTCACAGGGAATGCATGAACTGATCAAATCAAATGCATTCATAGAATGCAGTGTAAGTCGCTTTGGATAAAAGCAGCTGTTAAACACGTAGGCTAAATGTCTAAATTCATAAACCATTGAAAGCCTTGGAGCAATATTACATGTAAGGGATAATACACGGCTAGCTGTGCATTAAACGATTCTAATGCTTGACGTGGAGCAGAGGCTTCTGAATGTTTCTGTGTGTGCGCAGTGTGATCTCTGATCTCTCTCTCTCTGTGTGTGTGTGTGTGTGTCAATGAAAGCAGTGCATTAATACAGAACAGTGATTAAACTGAGTTGAAATTACCTGTGCATTTAATGCACACCTGCCAGGCAATCAGAATTGAGTGTTCAGACAGACCATGGAGTAAGTTGACATTATTAGATAACATAGCCTACACAACCCTACTGTTGAGCTGTGTTACACATTCAGTCTGTCTCTGTTCAGGATTTGGCTCTTTGGCTCTGTGTGTGTAATTAAAGTTCCTCTGCATAGATCTCAGTGTTGGTGGTGTGTACTCATGTGGGATGCCAAAAAGCATTTTATGGAGTGGATTGTGGAGTCCTGCTTCAGTCAAATCTGTTAATGGTCCTCTGGCGTCCTGCCTGACAGATGAAGCCACATCAGGTGAATTTGTGCTGTGTCAACAACACCACACTCTCACAAAACCTGTCGCCAGCTGAGATACGGATACGAACAGTGGACCTCAGATGCGAAACATGAGAGGGACTGCATCAGTCACTCTTGAATAAATTGTTGCACTGAATTAAATTTGACAAGTTATGCAAAGATGGATTTACAAATCAGTTTGTGTTTCAGAAGAGTGGTTTAATATTTGGATATGTTCTGTTTACTGATGCTCACTGTTTTTTCTTTTTTTTCCAACTTGTGGAAAATGGGCATCTGATGTCCCCTTTAAATACAAAGCTGATGAAATTCACAAAAGTCACACCAGTGTTTATGAATTGAAATCCTAATGTCTTCAGAAGTACAGATGCATCATCATCTCTGGAAATGTCCGCTGTGGCAGTGAAACTCCAGCGTCAGCGTGTGTCACAGGGTCGTGGCGTTGACCTCTGACCTGAGCGTTCACTGCGCTGTTTGTTCTGATGTGTGGAATCGGGTCAGTGGGTCAGTCAGGACTGCGGTCAGACTCAAAACTCCTCCATTCAGGGCTGTGGTAAAGTGCTGAGGTCAGTAGTGCACTGAAAGCCACTGAGTTCATGACACTGACAGAAAGACACTTCAAACGCCACAAACTCAACAGCATTTGCGCGATGCATTATCTAGACGGTTTGTCTCTTTATGTATCTCAGCATTTTTGTTGACACTGTAAATCTTTACACATTTAATGTTTATACATTTTTCAGAGTGTCTAAAATTGTTAAAGTTAGATCTTGAATGAATGAATGAATGATGCATTTATATAGCGCTTTATCATGTATTGTTGTACACCCAAAACGCTTTACAATCATGTGGGGGGGGGGGGGGGGGGCACAATATGAATATATGATGAAATATTTAATTTAAAAGACCGTTTCCTCAAAAACATGTAAAATTAACATATCACATATCTATATAATTCTTTTTTTGAAAGACCCCATGAAATTGACCTGTGGTCTACACTGTAAAAATGACAATTTTAATGATAAAAGACTAAATACGTTACAGTAAAATCCTGCTAATGGTAAATGGTAAGTTTCCATATTCTATACGGTGAAAAATTGTAATAGATAAATTGTAGAAAATTATAATAATTACATTTTATTTCATAAAATGTACATACAGTTTGTGGAAGTGAAAAAGTCGTCTTATTTACACTGAAAAGCTGTAAATTGATGTCCCCAGAATACCACAGCTCACAATCGGTTTTTATTTTAAATAAATGTTTCTTCATGACGTTCAAACCTGTATGCATTTTTTTCTGTTGAGCACAAAAGATATTTTGAGAAAAAAAGTAAACATTTTTTTGTGCATAAAAAAATGTTTGCTTATCAACGTTCAGATATAATCTTTTGTGTTCCACAGAAGAAAGTAAGTCAGGTTTGGCAGTGAATTGTCTCTTTAAGAGCGTCTGCTACTGGCATGCAATATCAAATCATGGTGAGCAACTAAAGCCTATTAACTTGAAAATAAATATGTAAATTAAAAAGCCCTTCAGGTTGTCCCAGTTCAGTACTTCCTGTTTGGAAATGATAAGAAAAGAAATTGCTTGTCAAGCCGTTTCATGGGGTCCTTATTGTGCATTCAAGTTTGATCAGTGAACTGAGCAAAGTAATATTGTTTAATCTGTTTTCATTAATGTAACCATTTATTGTCTTCTAATATTGATGTTGCTGCAGCCGTGCCTAAGTAACCTTCATTAGTAGGGATGTAACGATTAACCGCGAGCCGGTTGAAACTCGATTCAAATATGTGACGATTCAAATGGGTTGAGATGCTAAACAAATCGTGATTCAGTTAGGGGTAGGAGTTTATATGAATGCATGTCTGAGGGGAACTTACTGTCTTTTGATGGTATTTTTTCTTTTCCTCTTGCTTCTGTATAATGCATATTAAAGTTCATAAGTGCAGCGCTGCTTTGTTTACAGCGGAAACCAAGAAAACGCTTTAAGCGCCACCTGCTGGCAGAGAGTGCACCTGCGTCTCGTTCAGCTCGTCTGCTGTTTCGGTTTCATGCAGATATTTTTTATTTTTTTAAGTACCATTCTGTTTTTGCTTCAAATTGAGAAATTATACAATCTAATTTAGATTAAAAACTGCTCGTGTATGCAGCATCTTTGTTTGGATCAAGATTAAAATGCAGTGGTTGCCTCTCATTTTAAATGTTAAGAGCACAGACAAAGCCTTAGTTTGTTTATATGAAGAGATTTATTTGATTTGGGGCTTGTTTTAAAATTTCAATGTAGTTTTGTTATTTACATTTACATTATATTTCAATTTTGT